GATTTTAAAAATCAAATTGCTTGCCTTATCCAATTCTTGAACTGTTAAAAAAACCCTTGAGTTTTAAAGATGTAGGTTTAATATTGTGGCAGAATCTTAAACACCATGCAGTTACGCGTTTCAATTTTTTCCAGGATGAAAACCTGGATGTCAATTCAAATTCAGCCTCTTGGCTAATAACAGAACATACAGTAGTTTGACGCTGTTCTACCTGTACCTCTTCTACCATAGGCTCGATCAAAAGGATCAAAAGATGATGAAGGTAAAAATTTTTCTCTTTTAACCACACTGGTCCATTGAACCAAAGTTTATTTCCCACTAGATCAGAAGCTCTTAATCCACGTGAAACTATGTCAGCCGGATTGTCATTTCCCTTACAGTATTTCCATTGCGAAGGTGATACAACATCTTGTATTTCACGTACACGATTAGCAACAAAGGGTTTCCATTTATCAGCGGTACCCCTGATCCAGTGAAGAACAATTTTAGAGTCACTAAAACAAAATACATTATCTTCTTGGATATTAAATAATTTCCTTAAATATTTAACTATTCTTGCGGCAATAATAGCTCCCATAAGTTCTAAACGAGGCAAGGTTAATTTTTTAAGTGGGGATACACGGCTCTTTGAAAGAACAAAAGACGTACAGCAAGAATCAGGATCACGAAAATATGCAATAGCTCCATATCCCTTGAGGCTGGCGTCACAAAAGACAAAAAGCTCTATTTTATCGAAATTTACACATTCATCATTTAATATGTATTTTCTAGGAATACACAAGTTGAGAATAACTTCAATTTCAAAGTACCAAGTTTTAAATTTTTCACTCAAATAACTGGGCAAAATTGTGTCCCAATCAATACCCAATTCCCATAACTCTTGTAATAAGAATTTTATTCTGATAACAAAGGGTGCAATGAATCCAACTGGGTCATAAATTTTTGCCACAATCTGTAATACCTTTCGCTTTGTAACGTGTTTCCAGTCAACTGGTTGTAAAAGTTCTTGTACATCTAATTTCAATGTGTCCTCATCCAAATCCCAAATTATTCCCAGCACCTTTAACGTTTTCTTATCCAAATTATCTTCCTTATTAATTAAACCAATATCTTGCCAATGATTTTTTAAAGATACGGAATTTGATTCAAATTTTCTTAAGTTCATACCAGCGTCTTGAAGAATTTTAACTGCATCAGTTGATAATGAGAAAAACTTCTTCAACGGAGTCTGCTCCATGGATAAGGTCATCAACATATAAGGACTTATTTAACATGTCAACAGCTTTGCTATATTTCTTTTCATAACCCTTAATATGATGTTTGATAGTGGCGGACAAAATAAAACGGACTTGTTGTCATTCCAAACGGCACTCGGCACATTCGGAAAACCTTAAAGCCTAAACTATTGTCACACTATTGTCGTAAGAATGATCAAACCACAAGAACCTTAAAAAATTTCTATCTTCACTATCAATTTGAATTTGGTGAAAAGCCTTCTCTATGTCTGCACAAAATGCAACTTTATGTACGCGAAATTTTAAAATTATATCCAACAAGTTAGGATTTAAATTAGGGCCTGATATCAAACATTCATTTAACGATTTAGCTCCTTCAGACTTAGAAGAGGCATCATAAACTATTCTTATTCTTGTTGTTACTTTTTCTTCACGTATAACGGGCCTATGAGGCATATAATAACAGTTAGGTTCATTTTCAACAAACTTACATTGTTCAACAATCCCCCTTTCAACTTGTTCTCTAATTATATTATCATATTCATTATATAGGAAATCATTTCCCTTTAATTTATGCTTTAGTCCTAGAAATCGTTGTTTAGCAACGAAAAAATTATCAGCGAGTTGTGATTTATTGTCCTTCCAAAAGAGTTTTGTTTCGTACCTGCCGTTATTAAATTTTAAACTGTCGTTAAAATGCTTAATAGTATCCAAATCAGTTTCCAAAAATGTTTTGTTTTCATTTTCAATTCCTAGCGAATCCAATTTCCAAAATGACTGCAAATCAAATGTGTTTCCTTCAACGGCAGATAAAAAAAAAACGCATTAATTCGAGTATTATTATTTTTTACTTTACCCATCACTGTGTATCCAAATATCGTCGGTACTATAAACAAACCATCATTTATCATTGAATTACTTCCTGTTTGTATATACCAGAAATGCTCCGCGCCAAGCAGAATATTTATGTTCTCATTAACGGGACTTGTATCCGAAAGTTCCAAACCTTTTTTAGTCATAAATTCTTTAATGTTTTGACATGTTGATGGCGCCTGGAAGTTTATTGATGATATTAATTCTATCCCGATAGCTTCTACAACAAGGCAGCGATCATCGTTTTTATTTTTATTTTTAGACTATATACATCAAATTCTTGCGAGTTACCGCGCTGATTTCCAAACGAATAAATTGTTAGAAATTCTTTTCTAATGACTTGCAATTCTAAATCGCGCGCTAACTTGTGGGTGATGAAGTTTCGTTCACTACCTGAATCAATTAATAATCTTACGATTCTCGATTTATTTTTGCTTTGAGCAATAACAGAACATGTCTGTAAAAGCACACTATTTTCAGGTTTTAGAGTGTTACAGTGGGAAGTAGATACTAAAGTTTTATTTTGCGTATCTGCGGATTTAACATCTTCCATTTCTTTCGATTTCAAACGGCAGAAAAGTTTATTATGATTTTTCTCGTTACAATTTTCGCATGGTTGTATTTTTGACCTGACAAAACGACCTGACAAATGTGATTTCTCAGAAAGCATCTGTAACAAGCGACCTTCCATGTTTTAATTTGTTTCGTTTTTGTTCGTCGGAAAATTTCAAACATCCGGCAGATGTATGTTCGTTTGATTTGCAGAATATGCAAAACATTTTTACCGATGTGTTAAAAGCAGAAGCTTGTGATTTGACTTTATAATTTTTTAACCCTTGTTTAGGATTAACCCCTGTGTATTTATTACCTTTTGAGCTATTAATCAAAATACTTGCTTCTCGGCATTCAGTTTCTATTTTAATGAACTCTATTAATTCACTTACTTCTATATTTTGGTTAGATGTTCTTTTTCTATGGAATTCAAGAGCTAAATCTTCAGGTAACAATTTAAGAATTATTGGGTTCAATAACTGTCCGTATGAACCGCTAGTAACATCTAAACTACTTAAATTTCTAACGCAGATTTGTAACTGATCATAGAGCTCTGGTTCTAACTGTAACAACATCTGCATGAATTTTGATATAATAACATCTTTACGACCAAACCTCTCTTCTAAACTTTTAATGCATAGATCATAATTTTCTTCAGATAAAGCATAACCAGAAACACAATTATATGCTGAACCAGATAATAAACTTTTCAAATATGTAAACTTATCTATTTTAGATAAACTTGGATTAGAATGAATAGCATTATCATACGAATTAAGGAATTCGAGCCATTTACTGGGATCACCAGCAAATTTTTCAATATTTAATTTAGGTAACATTACTGAAGCACTACTTGTAACAACATTATTACCATTCAGAGTACTACTAATACCATTACTAGTTGCAATTATACTTCTTTCAACAACTTCATTACTGTTAATTTTCTTTACTTTACTAACAATCTTAGCTTTAAACGTTATAATTTTTTCATCATATTCTTCACATACAAGTAGTTCGTTATCATATTCTTTTTCATCAATTATGAGAGCATCGATCTTTGAGTCAAGAGTTTTAAGTTCTCATGGTATTCAATTAACAATTCATATGATGAATTTAAATCTTCTAGATGTCCTTTACTTAATTCTTCCGATAATAATTTCTCAAGTTTATTTAGAAGTGTAGTAACTTTACTACGTACAATAGCACGTTTCTTTTTCTCTTTTGCTAAATCATCCATTATGTTTCGTTTTCAAAGATCGATACCAAATAAATCAAATTTCTTACCTTTCAAAAGGTAATTCCCCTTGTCGCGGGTTTCAGACACCAGAAAAATGTTGTATGGTGTCTCTCTTCATGAGTCATAAATACAAAGATCGTTTCGTTTCAGGAGTCAAGGTTGGGAGAGCATTAGAATTTCAAATCAAAATTTCAAGAGTTCACGGAACATAGAAATAACATTTATTAACGATAAACTTATATTACTTATATTACTTCCGCCTATAGCGGCCATGAAACATAATCAAGCATCAAATAAATATGACATGCGTCATTCTTCATGTTCAAGCGTCAAGTGATATATTTTTCATCGGCGCGCATCAAGAGCGCCACCTATCTACCAAAAAGACGGAACAGCTCCGGTGCGCTCCGGCTAAAATTGTAATTTATCTTAAAAATTGAAAAGTACCGGAGCCGGGCTCCGGTGGGCTCCGGCGCAATTTAAGCACTGGTTTTATTCAATTCTTTTACTATGGTGAGCGATGGATATTGAGTTCGTTTAATATACCTGACTAGTCTTCTGTACAATCATGTAAGATTTACATTTCCTATAAACTTCATCACTCTCGGTTACTTCTTCTGGGATATTACAACCTTTTGCATTACTTTAGTGGCACGTTCTGATGAAAACGTTTTGCAATTCAAGATCAAATCATAGGAAATGAAATCATAGTATCACTTCGTTAGGTTACCATGGGGGGGATTAGCATTCATGTTATATTCTTGAAAATCAAGTCCATTTTCAAGAATATAACATGAATGCTAATCCCCCCATGGTATCAGAGTTTCATTCATTTTCCCCATTTTCATCAGAGTTCATACTTAAAAATAAGTTTTTTATGCAACATTTTAAAAGTTTTGAAATTTCATGCCAGTGTTAGATAGATCATCAGCTACTTGAGCAATGATTCATAATGCAAAATATAGTAAGAAATCCAGAACAATTAGAAATTCAGCACGTTAAATTTGCATTTAAATTTTGTGCATATTAATATGAATATTATACCTAATTTTTGTTTTTGACAGTTTCATATTAGCATTCCTTATGATAACATTTTATTACAGATGTGAATGCAGACGGTGTTCTGACGTGGGATGATTTCCGACAGTTAGCTGAGGTAAGGCTATGCAAAAGACCTTTTGTAAATAACTCAGCATTTGGCCATAAGAAAGGAATTGATGTATCACTTAAAAAGTAGAATAAGTGCAAAAGAAGCATTAATTAATATATAAATCTTAAACTAATGAACAACTCTAATCAATTGTTGTCGTTATGGCAGCGGGGAAAACAGTCAATTTTTGCTGTGGCTCTGTTTACAGCGAAGAAGCCAGTTCTTCTCTCCCTTTTCTCCTTCATCTTGACAAAACCTTTTATTTTTCTGTATAAGAGAATTTATCTTCAAGTTTTAGAAGGAAAAACTTTTTACTTTTCTATATCAGAGATAATTTATTAATTTAATTATTAATTTACCTTCAAGTTTTAGAAAAGGAAAGATATTACGATTTTTTTAGTTTCCTGTGACCCTTATCTCATAAAGTAAGGAGAAATCAATAATAAAACAAATTCAAAATTTGGGTTTCCAGATGCCCATATTCGCAGGAGGATTAAGTTATTCGAAACTGGATGGCTCTAGGTACCGTTGTTTTATCACAATGCAAGAAACATACATACATTCATGCAAACTCTTTATTATTTAATTTCTTTAAATATAATACAAGGCGATAATATTTGGTGCAACAATCTGAAAAGTGAAACAACGCTGGTAGTGAATCAATGCAAAATAATAAAACAAAATTAATAGTCCTTCTGGGCAAATTGCCCCATTGGACTTAAAAAAAAGCAATATTTAAATAATCTCTTTTACTATTTTTTTTTTTTAACATAGGGTACAATTTGTGCTACAGACAGAATTCCACCACTTGTGAATATTCTAAATTACATGCGATTAATTCAAGCGTCAATAACGTAGTCTAAGACTATAGATTAAACCGATAATTTGGTTTATATATTTTAAAGGCGCGTGATTTAAACGTCGGCTAGTGAGAATATTAAAGCCGAAGTATCAGTTTTAAGCAAAGCTGGGGAAAATATCAACAGCAAGACGCAATAAGCTTCAAAACCCTCAGCTTAAATACACACAAAGCTAATTTGCAATCTGCTGAGAAATAAGTTATATTAAAGACTTAATAACTGGTTAATTAACATAAGATATTTTAAGAAATATTCTTTAAGTATCATTTTCTAGACCCCTATTTTCACATTTTTCTTTCGCAGAAAGGTTAACAGCGTAACTGACGAGGAATAGAAGATTTTAGTCGGGATTTATGTATAATGGAAACATGCTTTAAAGTGGGGAGGGGAGAAGAATTTCCAAATGTAATTGATTGCTGTTGGATGCTAAAAGTGATGTAAAACAATGTAAAATATCAAAGAAAAAAATCGACTAGAGTTTCATTCTAAACTAACTATCACTTTTTTCTAAATACCGTACATATTTAAATAACGCTAATTTTCACAAAAATTAAAAAATATTCCGCAAACAATTCCCATTAGGAAAATTTGATAACCGTATTTGAAATCCGAGTAAAGTAATTGAAATTTAAGCATAAAAAAGTGTATTTAATTTGTGTTGTTCAATATAATTAATGAATGAAAGAAAATTTAAAGATACATTTTAGATACGTTGCAATTTTGTTTAATGATTGCAACTAATAAACGATAGTGTTACATTGAATTCATGTTTTTATTTTATTTATGAGACATTGATATTTAATAGATAAGACATAGATAAGACACACAACTTCAGCTTTCACTGTGATGTTAAAAAAATTATGTTATAACAACTAAGGACTTATTTCTAACTAGCTAGTTAATTTACCCATTCACCCTCAATGTTCAATAAAAGCTATGATGCGTTATCACTGGTACTATTTTAGCTTAACTGTGAAAGCACCGAGACATACAAGTAAACTTAACTTATCCTACTTCACCTCATGTGACGGCCAAATTAAAATACTATAAAACAAAATACTACTCTCCTTGACTTTTCAGAGAAATAAAGATGAAGTGTGAAATTCTCTTAATCAGTACGTATGAAATTTTCTACAATTTAAGTATTTTCTATTAAGGCTACAAGACCCCATGTCAGATAAATTAAGATCTAAATCAAGCTTTACCACCTAGGCTAGTTTCAACTTAGATTAGTGTAGTTTTATTGTCTTGGCTGTTCAGTACGTATGAAATTTTCTTCTCATAGCAATGGTTTGTAAAATCTCTGTTAAATTGTTCTATTAATAAAATCATGTCGTTTTACACTTTCTTTTCTTATTTCTTTTGTTGAGGGGTAGGGGTGCACAAATTTAAATAATATTATTCGCGACATATGTATAAATTAAACTGAATATGGAAATGTATGAAAATAGATATCTTTTGTCAGTTTTGGTATGAGTATTATATACAGAAAATTAGTATTAACACGATAATTGTTACAGTAGTAGACATTTAGAACAACTATGCAAAATAAATAACATCAATCCGTAATCATCCTCAATAAACGTATTTGATCGTACAATGCATGTACCTTCAATTTAAGTAATCTATCATATAAAACATTTTCAGAAAGGGGATACATAAATTTAAGGTTAATGAATCAACAATATAGATGTCGGACACAACAGATGCCCACTGACGGCCGAAAAGAGAGACATAAGTGCTATTTATGTATACCTATACTGCTAGTACTGTCAATTTTATTTCTTACTTATTAAGTTATAAGGTATTTCTCCCGCCTTCTTGGCATGCCTTCGTGGTGTGAAGGTCTGCACGCTGGGCGCGTATTCCAGTGGTCCGTGGTTCTATTCCCGGCGAAGGGGTTTGCTATTTTTCATCTTCCCTGCTTCCAAAAAAGTACCTGATGTCTCTACGAAGTCATTAATTAGCTGTGAAAGAAACAAAACCAAAATTTGAAGAACTGTTAAAGAATGTAGAAAGTACAAAAATCTCCGAAATGAAAATTGTGCTGAAACAAAAACTAGACTTGAGATATCATCTAAATAAAGCACATAAAAATTTGCCTCTTCCAAACCAGAAAGAAGCGAAAGATAACGTATTGCATAAACTTCGTGATTTTGCAGATCAAATGTGCGTGGATGCGCTGCCATAATACGTCGATTATGACATTATGAAGCATACAAAAATAAGCGTGGCAATAAAATAGGAAATGGCAGTTTCTCGCGTGGCAATCAAATAGTAAATGGTAATTTCTCGCATGGCAATAAAATAGGAAGAATCAACCTATAGAATTAACATGTAATATATATTCACTTTCCTTTTCGGTATGCTAAGATATAGCCTTTCTTTTCCCCTTTTTTTTAGAAATATACTAAGATTCAGCGTCGTGGTAAATTAGATCAAGACGTGTACAAAAGATGGGAATCTATCTTAGGAAAATGGTGGGACGAGCTTACCCACCATGCAGATTTTAATAAGGTGAGTAAATTTGTACATATTGAAAACAAATTCAGCTATTTTGATAATTCACCAATTATTGATCGATTCACCAGTTCGTTATGAGGGATATTCTAGAATATCTTTTCTTCCTGAAGAATACCATTTTTGAAGTAAAGCTATAATATCGTATGTTCATGAATAGAAATAGGATCAGAATTAATATTATCTTAGATAGCATGCTGATTATGAATTTTCAAAATTGAATTTAATTAAAGCTGTCATTTGTTAAAGCTATGTTTCTTAATTCTTTGACGGGTAGGAAAAGGCAATTAACTTTTCCAGTAAATCTCTTGTTTTATTTACTATATCAGGTGTTACAGTGAAATTATTTGCGACAGTTACACATATTTTGTCGCACCAAGACGCGTGAAAAAAATGACCACTTCTGGTGGTTATAGTCAGTGACCACCGCCCACAGAACACATCCCTACAAATCATTCTCTATGGTACTTATAGAAACAGTTTTCCTTTTTCAAGCAGATTTGCATGTGCTGCATTCCAACACTGTTCTTAGAGGCTTTTTCTTGGTGCTGCAGAGTGTACATCGTCGTGATGTTGTCTTCGATGGCTGATGCTTATCTTCTTGAAGACGAATTTGCTGCATCAACTGGCTTACTTTTCTTAATTGGCTTACGTTTCTTGATTGGCTTACATTTCTTGATTGGCTTACGTTTCTTGATTGGCTTATGTTTCTTGATTGGTTTATGTTTCTTGATTGGCTTACATTTCTTGATTGGCTTACGTTTCTTGATTGGCTTATGTTTCTTGATTGGCTTATGCTTCTTGATTGGCTTACTTTTCTTGATTGGCTTATGTTTCTTGATTGGTTTATGTTTCTTGATTGGCTTACATTTCTTGATTGGCTTACGTTTCTTGATTGGCTTATGTTTCTTGATTGGCTTATGTTTCTTGATTGGCTTATGTTTCTTGATTGTCGTCTAGTGAGCTACAAGGGAACTTCAGAAACGGTCAGTCGTGAAAGCCACTCACACGAGTGAGTAAGACGTTGAATGGAATAGGTGGTTACTGCAGATAACCACCGCCCTTCAAAGAGTAAACAGCACTCCTTCGAGCTGTTCGGTGAGCTTCCTGGAGCACTTCGAAATGTTTCTGTAATCTACTGATTAACGTTTAGCCGACAGAGATTTAGAATCCAACAATCGATGTATTTGTATTATAATACGAAGGACATCTAACGGGCACTATTTACAGAAAAGCACCGAACAGATTACTAATTGATTTGAAAAATATCTTCAAAAAGATAACGTCGATAGGTTAGCATGCGACAGGCATACTTTTGGGACTCAATAAGAGGCAAAACTACATCCAGATTTGTTTCTGTAGAAGGAAATTATAGATACCAGAAAGCAAAATCTGGCTTCATGATATTGTCTGAAAGTTAGATGTCAGGAAAAGATGAAAAATTCGTTGCTAAGTGGTAGAACTAAGCCATTCTTAATTCTATTTCGATGCCTTATTTGTGCAAAGCTGGGCATTTGGTGACTATTGCGCGGCGTAAAGTAAACAGTACGAGATAATTAACGTGGAATAAGAAATGAAGGCGGTTTTTTGTCCAGTTTTAAGATTTTAAAATATGCTCAGCAAAAAACAGGCCTACCTGTTCTGTTAATTATAATTATTTTATTCTAAGATGCGATTTTTAAATACATACTTGTTAAATTGCATTCTGTAATTGTTATGTTGACCAGTCTAGACTATATCTTGACCAGTGTAGAGTATGTCTTGATCCTTGTGTCTCCTATGGAGGTACTAAAAGTAGTTGACAGGGAAAGAGAAAAGAAATTGACAGCGGATAGTAATTATATAGCATCAAAGTTTATATATACTTTTATATACTGTTAGCAGTTCTGTTGGAGCGTTAAGCTGAGCGCAGGTTCTGAAGTTCCTTTTGGAGGCATTCTTTGTGTTTTTCACTCTACATACACTGCTGCGTGCTGTTGTATATGGAGTAATAATTCATACAGTTGTGTATGGAGACTTCAGTTATTGAGTGAACAATAAGTATGAATGCCAAACTTTTGTTTTCTTCATTTACTGTGAGAATAATTGCAGCAGCCAGTTCACCTATAAAAACTGCACCGTGACTTCTGAGTGGAGTAGACTGACTACAAATGATCGATGCAATATATATATGCAGATTGCAAAATATTTTACATTCCCTACTGTAGATCCATAGCTAAAGAGAATTTCAAAGGAAATCCAATTGACATTAACCTGTAAGATCAAGCTACAATTTTTTTCTTATATATAATTTGACACTGCTTTTGTGTAATCAAAATGAAAATATCAAAGCAATTATCAGTCCAGGTCTTAAATTCATCAGTTATGAAATACGTAATTTTTTTTCCCTTACTTAGAAATTTACGGATAATTTTCTTACACAAACACTACACATTCTTTTCGGTATTTCTCATAATTATAAGCATATTGGTTTTTACTCAGTATGCGCAATTTCTTTCTTTATTGAGCCTTTCGATTGATATAGTGGTTAGTGACCGAAACGCCGTCGTATAGACCTCACCTAAGGTTCTGCACCAATCAGAGTTACGTCCATGCGACGGAAAAAGAATCTACCATCCACCGCCGGCGCCATTCATTGAATTAATGATAGTAATATTATAATGACGTATAAAGTAATCTTCACAATAATTGTTATATAATAATCCGTATGAAAAAAAAATATACAATCAATTAATCATTACATTCATGGATAGGATCTATACTGTGGAGAGTGAAATTTATATATTAACCAGTTTTTAAACCTATGTCTTCTTCAATACGTCATAACTTCATATTCTTATCAGTTACACACCTAATGATGTGTGTCCGTATTGCCGTAGCGATGGGCCCAGATGATTCAAATCCGGGAGAAGGCATAGTTGTAACTGTCTGTCACTTCATAGAAGGCAATAGTGGCCATGCATTAGGTGGTTCAGTAATAAAATGGCCACCACTTCAAACCCTTGTAGTAGTGCAAGGCTGTTGAATAAAGCGCCCAGCCATTATTAAAAAAAAAAGTCCTTACTGCTGCAATACATATTTATGCTACCGTCTAGAACAAACACATGGCTAATATGAATGATTCATCGGACTTCGAAATACTATGCCTTTCGAAGTATTAAACACACAGTAATAATTCATGCATAAAAGTATCTAGACAATAAGCAACTTTTTTTCACACATTACAAATGATCAGTGTATGCTCCGTAGTTCACGCGCACACATTTTAAACATAATCGAAGTTTGGTCCATGTATTTTAACAGCATTTCCATGTCACTGGTTATATCTGATGCGTTCTCTGTGGTCTACCAGTATTTCTCGTAATGGGAGTACGTACGGAAACCTAGTCCCTAACGTACCTTTCAAAAAAGTTTGGTTCGTTTTATGTTACTGCGAAGCCTCAAGGGCTATCTGCCTAAGGGAAGGGATGCTTTCGTGGAGGACTTCCTTAGGAAAACTGGCTCGTATACACGTTACACATGAGGAAAACCAGAAAAACACCCATACGCCTAACCCATTCGCGGGATTTGAACCTCGAACCGTACTACCAGCGTTCAGCGACTTTACCGCTCGGTCCCTGGTGGGCTTTCATAAAGAAGAAATAACACGCTATTAGATGATCAAGAGACATGTAGCCTATGCTACAAAAGTGTAAATCGAGATCGACTACCGTTTGGATATGTATCATCTGATCAATCGGGTATACAAAGAATATTTTAGTGGGAGCAAAGTTTGTTGAGGTTCCGGTTCTTTTTGTGAATCGGTTATTATTATATGCGTAATGCATTTAATAATAGAGCTGTTTTGAAATCCGCTTATTCACGTATGTATGGTAGACCTGTATAATACTTAAAATCAAGAACTTTTAAGACTAAGATAAAAACTAGGAGTACAGCTTCTCAGAGAAAGAAATGTTACCAATAAAGTAACAACCTATTTTGTTTTTAGTAGGCCGGAACGAGAGGTCCCGCAATATGAATTTTCCGCGAAGGTGACCTATTTTATAGAGAAAATGTGTTTTAGTTCCATCGAAAGTGTCCAATCTAGAAAATCGATCTGTAGTTTCAATAAAAAATTCCAGGTGAAGTAAAAAAAGACCAGGAAAAATATCAATTGAGCATGGCGAAATGTTACTGCTGTTTCAGTTAAATAATTAATTTAATCACAAAGATACGTAAGAGGCTTATGCATTAAAGCTTCTGGTTTCCTAAAACGTTTTAACAGCATATGCAAAATTATAGCAAATACGCATATTTTAAACGAAAGATTTCTTGAAATTAAATTTACATTTGAAAACTAAAATTTAAAATTTTGCTAATTATAAATCCAGTAAAGATCTAATATTAATTAAGACTAACAAAGATTTAAAATTAACAAAAATTAATAAAGATCTAAAACTTAACTACGTATCTGAAAACTGCTTTTATATCTAAATAAATTAAATAATTTTGGATTTATTGATAATTTGTTAATTTCAAATTAAGAGATTCAATGTATTTTTTTAGACAAATAAAATTGTCTCTCTCCCCTCCCCTTTTCATCCTGAAGAAGGGAGATTACTCATCTGTTTTTCCAAACATATTGAGCCTTTTGATTCAAGTCAGTACAAACAGTGACTGAGTTTTACTAATTGTTGGTATTGTGATTGCATGCAGCTCTTGGACATCCGTAGTAAATTCTAATGTGAAGTTCATGTTATCATTATCCCTTAAAAAATTTCTGTTATAATCATTAAGATGTTTTTTTTTATTCTTCTGTTTACTGTGTCTTTTAATTTTAACATATTTTTAATATTTGTTTCTGTATTTATGCTATAGGACAAAATTGTGGAATTCGATGAGTGGCTGAAGTTTTTTCATAATTTGGGGCAGCAAACAAAATCACACAAGGAATTACCAGATTTTTTACAGACGTATTTACAACTTTTTTTCTTCATTATGGATTCAAATAGTAAGTTTGCTTCAAAGTTTAACTCTTTTTTAAACATATTTGAAATTATGTTTCTTTTTCGAAAAATATAATTGTCATGTTGAGAGGCTACGAAACGCGAATAGATCCAGTGCATTTATTACAATATCAAAACAAAGAATTGTCTGCCTAACTTCTGTAACGTATAGCACAGGAAAAAAGAGACCGAGAGTTAAGAAATTCATTTATTTAAAAGTCACGAGGGCTATCTGCCTAAGAGGAGAGATTCCTTCTTGGAGGATTCTCTGAGGGAAATTGGCTCGTTTTTGCTTTACACATGTTTAGAAATTCAGCATACGGATTCTCCACCGAGGTTTATGTGTAAATCGTAGCGAATGTTTCAAAATTTTATTTATTTATTAGTCCAAAGGGGCTTTGTCCCTGAAGGACTATTGTTTTCGTTTTGCGATTTTGCGTCGGACTCATAAACGTCGGTTCACTTTTCAAACTGTTGCCACAAAATGTTAGAGTCCTGCATTATATTTGAAGAAATTAAATAATGAAAAATCTGCATAAATGATTGTCTATTTCTCGCATTGTGATAAAACAATGGTACATAGAGCCATCGAATTTTGAATGACGAAATCCTACTGCGAATATGGGCATCTGAAAATCCCAAATTTGGAATTTGTTTTATTATAGATTTTATATTTTGTAAAACTTTAACGAATTTTTGATTTACAAACTCAATGCTTTAAAGCGAGCAATGGCAACGTTGTACGGAAAAAAAATACTTTTATCTCCAGCTCGCGAGAACCTGTGTATATCGGAAATTCTAAAGATATGCTTAATTTAACATTATTTTGCGGATATTGCTGTTGAATCTGAATTTTATGGTTTAAGTGCAAAGAACATGATTTTAATAAATAAAGGTAACACTCAAAACGTTAAAAAAAACGCCCTTTGGACGTAATTTAAAATCTGAAACATTTCAGATTTTTTTTTTTTTTTCTTTTAATTTGATGTAAGATTTTTTCCGGGTTCGTTCCCAAATATCTTCATTTAAAGATCGAACTGAAGAACTGTAGTCTTAACATTTGTACTCTTTACATCGTCGGATAGATTGTAATATAAACTATAAGTAAATTTCATAGTTAACTATTAATGTAATCGTTAAGTCGTTTCTGAAGTAAGTCCGCGACTTATTTTATTCTCCATATCTTTGATAGCACTTTTATTAATTTGACTTTTAATTAGCATATTTTGATAATATTTTATTAATTAGGTTTAATGAATATAAAACATACGTAAGATTTTTAAACGATTTATTTGTATAGATATGCCCATGTGCAATACATACATATAGACTTTGTAAAATTAAGATGTACACTTTTTACAATTTTTTTTTAATTAGTTAACATGAACTAAAACTCAAAAGCATAGAAACGGTGCCTTGAACTAAAAATAACTACTGAGTTACTTATTTAGATTTATTTGTTGGCTGTTTTTTACTTATTTGGATGATTCATTGCAATCGGAAATAATGTCTTTAACCAGGACTTCGCTAATTTTCTCTTCGTATTTAATTGCTGCACATATTTCGCCATAATATCCGACTGCGTTTCGAGTTTATTTTTCAGCTTTGCCAAAAAGATCAGTGTTTTTATCTATATTTGAGAGTATCTGAAGTCCTTGATTTAATGTAGAAAATGCCCCAGAAAATTCTTTTGCAGTTAATTATCTTGATGGCTTTTCTTCACCGTTTCTCCTTTCTCTTTCTATAGCTTTGTCATTCTGGAAATCAATCAAATTATCATCAGTCATTTCACCTTTATCGTGATCCATTGATTCTTCACCTGATGTCTGAATCCAGCGTACCCGCTATTTCAACCACTTCTTCGCTAATTTGTTCCAAGAATATGACGCTCATTCGCATGCACTGTTTTGAGATTTCTTTCCAAGAAATTCCATGAAAACACTGATCAATATCACATTCCCCCTCCCCTAAAAATCGTCTGATGTTATAGCGGTGCTGTTACTTCCACTTCCTTCATGAGAAAATGTAATTATCAAATAAAATAAGCTGAATATAGGAATTGAATTTTGATCCGTAAGTTGACTCACAGCTGTTGTACTAGTAGGTAAATACATCATATTTACATTTTCATTTAAACTGCCATTATACATACTCTGGAAAAAGAATGAATATGCTTTGTATTTATTATTATTATTATTATTATTATTATTATTATAACAAAGCACGCGAGATATAACTACCTAAGCTATGGCACGCCTTCACGGAGGACATTTTAAAGGAAACTGGTTCGTATACACGTTACACATGACGAAAGTCACGAATATGACCATGCAACTCGCCCGTTCGTCTGGTTTCGAACTTAGGTCAAACTTTCAATTTCAGTGAGTTTAAGGTGGTGAGAAAAGGTTTTTTTTTTTTTTTTTTTTTTTTTTTTTTTTGTTGACTGTAGAATATTTAGCCCAAAGGGGCCCAGAAGCTTCGAAACGGCAATTTGCGTCGAATCACTTTTCAAATTGTTGCCACCAAATATTATAGCCCTGTATTATATTTAAAGAAATTAAATAATGAAGAACCTGCATGAATGCATGTAAGTTTCTCGCAATGTGAAAATACAATGCTACCTAGAGCCATCAAATTTTGATTAACGTAGTCCTGCATCCGAACATGGGCACCTGGAAACCCGAATTTTGAATTTCCAATTTGTTTTATTATCTAATTCACATTTTGTAAAATTTAAAGGAATTGTTGGTAAACAAACTCAACGCTTTCAAAGCGAGCAGTGACAACACTGTACGGAAAAAGACATTTTCATCTTCAGCGCACGAGACTGTCTACCAGAAATTCTAAAGCTATGCTGTTTTTAAATATTTAGTGGTTTTGCTGTTTAATCTAATCTTATGGGGAGTAAGCGCCAAGAAAGTGGTATTTAATAAATAAACACACAAAATGTTAATAACAAAACAGTTTTGAAAATCCATTTTAGTAAGAAAACTAAACATTGATATGATAAACAGAAAAGACTGAAAGAAAAAATAAATAAGTAAAATTTATTATAAAAAGAAAATCTAGAATGTTTCAGATTTTAAATTACGTCCAAAGATGCGTTTTTTGTAACATTTTGTGTGTTACCTTTATTTATTAAATATCATGTTCTTCGCACTTAAACCATAAAATTTAGTTTAATATCAATGTCGTAAAATAATTTTAAAATGAGCCTGTCTTTAGAATTTCCGATACACGGTTCGACGCGCTGGAGATAAAAAGGTCCCCCCCCCGTACAGTGTTGCCATGGCTCGCTTTTAAATCGTTGAGTTTGTTACTCAAAAATTCGTTAAAGTTTTATAAAATATGAAATCGATAATAAAACAAATTCCAAATTTCAAATTAGGGATTTCAGATGCCCATATTCGCAGTAGGATTACGTCATTCAAAATTATCTGGTTCTAGATTCGTTGTTTTATCACAATGCGAGAAATAGACATACATTTATGCAGATTTTTCATTATTTAATTTCTTCAAATATAATGCAGGACTCTAACATTTTGTGGCAACAGTTTTGAAAAGTGAACCGACATTTATAGGAGTCCGACGCAAAATGCCAAAACGAAAGTAATAGTCCTTTCGGGACTCAAATCCCTTTGGACTGAAAAAAAAAAAAAAAAAAAAAAAATGTATGCCAACACTTAACGCTGCATTTTAAAAAAATTAACAATAAAAAATTTTGCCTAATAAATAATGCTAACTGAATTTGTATACATTTAATGATTTAATTAAACTTTGAACTATTTTTCAATTCAACTTCCTTTTTTACAATTTTGATATTCATATTTTTTAAATAATTCTTATAAACTTTTTAAAAAACATGAAAATTTGCCTACCATCTTAACAATTTTTAGGCATATTTGCAAAAAAATTATAATGTTTCAATTATAAATTTTGAAATTATATTTAAATTTATATAATAAATATCTTTGGCGATGATTTCAAAATTGGCTTACGATTAAGAGTAATTAATTTTCGTATTAATTTAGTTTTTAACAAAATACTTACTAAAAATTTAACTTAGATTGAAATAAAAGTTAAAAAAAGCTCTCTAATTTATATAAATCTCATAACGATTTGCCTCATGAAAGTTAAAAAAATCTTATGTGGACAGTACATGACTTCCTTGTATGGCCTATTAAATTATACACAATTTTTGAAGCATTTCCTTTAAAACTGTTTCCTTAAATTTCATTGGAGATATATTTCTCATTCAATTAATTCAGTTCTCACTTCGTAGCAAGCAGAAATACATAAAAACTTAAAAACATCTTTAAAAACTGTAAAATACAACTACCAAACTTTCCTAAGTGAACCTGGCGAATTGTCGCACAGGCTTGAATGAAATACCAGCACAGAGGAAGGGAGAAAAAACTCTGTTAATTTCAACTAATAACAGAAAAGTACGATCTTCGTGCTTTACAATAACACCGTCAACTTGCGGTGAAACTTATATACTTGCGGTGGAATATAAATCAATTCGAAGTCTAATTAATTAGAATAGTGTTGGATTAGCGCCCTAAAGTATGGCTAACTTTGGTTGACTCAACAAAACCTAACAGGCGCGACAATTATCCGAAATGGCCAAGGGACGTACTAGCGTAACAGCGAGATAGCAACGAAACGTGCGTTGGCTAGCGAAAACACGCTCTGAATAAACTCATAGATTCACCCGTTTAAATACTCACTTCACTTAACTTTAAATTTAATCCTGGCGAGGAAGTGTGAGGGGAAGTTGAGGAGTTCAGGAAAGGTATCAAACTTAAAATAATTTGTTATGCATATAAGGGAAATTCTACATGCTTACTTCGTTATACTTTATTTAATGTTTAAAGATGGCTCGAAGTGGTAAGGAAACAACGCACAGCATTCGAAAATTTTTCATCATAAGGATGAATTAACATTTTTCATCATAAGGATGGAAATTCGATTCGGGATTAGTAAATTTATCTCATTCTACGGT